CACTCCAGCCTGGGCAAAAGAGCGAGACTCCATCCGAAAAAATAAATATATATATATATATACACACACACACACACACACACATACAGGAAGTTTAAATGGGAAGGATGGACAAAGTTTATTTAATCACTTACAAGTGGAAAGGGAAGAGATAATATCAGATAAAGCAAAACAAAAAGTATTGAAAGGAATGAAAAAGGTCATTTTTATAATGATTAAAACTAAATGTATAACTATTACAAACTCTTCTGTGATAAATCTCTTTGTTCCAAAACATACCGAGTACAACCTAAATGTCCCAAAAGAAGAATGGTTCAATGTATTGTGGTATATCTGTGTGGTCGTCTTATTTGTAATGATTAAGAATGGTATTGTTGAAGTTTCTTTGTTTATCCAAAAAGCCATTAGTGATATATTGTCGATCGAAAAACCATACTGCAGATAGTGTGAATATTATTCTCCTACTTTGATTAAAGTAGAACAAAAAATGTTAACAAGGGTTATCTCTCAGTGATGTAACTGGAGTCAATTTAAATATTTTCAACTGTACTTTTAATCTTTTCCTATAGTTTATATAGTAAATTATTATTATACCCAAATATCTACTGCCTCGCCCACTGGGAGAACTATAGTTTCATGCATTATTGACCTCACCTAGGCCATGTGACTCGTTTTGGCCAATAAAACATGAGTGAGCTAACCTGTACCACCTACAAGCAAAAGCTCTAAGAACCATCCCATGGTTCTGCAATGCCTCTTTGCCCTGCCTCTCCTGGGGGCTATTTGTTAAGCCTGGAATGAAGAGGACTCAAGGTAGGTCTGCAGCTGACCTAAAGGACATGTAAATGAGCTAAAAATAAACCTTTCTTGTAAGCCTCTTGGAAGCAGAGACGGGGCCCTAACCTGCTGGTGCCTTGATTTATCAGCCTTCAGGACTGTGAAAAAGACATTTGGGGCTTGGTTGTGGCACATTACAACTTAGCCCAGGGTAAGTGTTTTTCTGGACACATACAATTTATGATGCCTTTGAACAGCAAGTTCTAGAAGTCTTCCCTACCAGCTTTTGCTTTAATTAGGTCCCTGGGTCATAAATCTGAGATTTATGTCACTCAATGAAAATGCAAATGTTACAGCACTTAGCAATACTTGTGGTGTTCCCACTGTTATAAAGGAAGAATGAGACAGAAAAATTAGATGTTCGGCTCTCCCGTATTGCTGTTATTTCCAGCCACAATACCTTTCTCATTGAGTATAGTAATTATGTTGGTTTTGACTTTAAATTTTATGGCCTTTCTTTGGTTTAGAATATTGTTTAGGCAATTTCTGAAAATGTTCTTTCGTAGAGATAATTTTTTTTTATGTTATAGCAATTCCTACACTCTAAGAATAAAAAATAACCTTCTCTCAGAGTTTAAACTTACTTTTATAATGCATTTGAAAAAGAGCAGGTGGTCAAACACTTGATTGAAAATTGGTTGGAATAATCTTTAAAGGGCATCTCATTCAACTTTATATTTAAAGTACTTGAAACCCTTTCTGTTAAAAAAATAACAAAAATTCTTAGAAACAACAACAATAACCTCAAAAACAATTCTTGTAATGAATTAAGTTCTCTTACTTTTTCTTCATTTTGCTATTATTCAACATATTTATAACTATAGGTCAACTGAAATGCTGACCTTTTATCATAAACAAGTTATCCTGAAAATGTCATTTTAAATTAAAACAAAAATCAAAGTGTTAGCATTGATGTTAATGAAAAAAGTACAGTTTTAAAAAAGAAAAAAATCCAGCAGAGGAAATATACCTTGGATTGAATTTACTTCCAAATGGATTACAATTTAATTATTTAGGTTGTTACAACCTCATCCCTTGGGAGCACTTGAACGCATCACAAAAGTACCTCCCTTTTGGCTCAAGAGTCAGCATCTACTTGTAAAATATTTTGGACCAGAAAGCTAAGTACTTCAAATCAAGGATCCGAGCAGTGTCTTTACATTCTGTCTGCTGGCACCACAGCTTGGCATCAGAAACTTTACTCACTTACTAGACTGCCTTCATAAAACAAAAAGATTAGATGATCGTCTCTCAAGTGGAGGTTTATTACTACCTTTTGCCAATAATGAATGAAACTATCTCTAGCCCACAGAAGAGATACACAGCGCTTTCCATTTCTGTTTGTCCAAAGACTAGTTTTGTTTCAAGAGAAAGTCTCCCAGTTTGGAGGGTAAGTAGCTTTTATTTTTCTTGCAGTGACAGTGAAGTTGAAATCTTAAGACTGGATTACAAGTTCTATTCACTAGAATGTCCAGTTTTCACACTTTATAAAAATTGCCCTTGTAATTATTGGTTTTGTTCTTTTAGGTATTCTCTATAAATAAGTGACCATTAAAATCCCGAATAACACATTCAGGTGACATAATCCATTAATATTATGTTACAGATTATTAAAAATATAACTATAGGACCATATAAAATTTAATTTACTGGCACATGTGAAATTTACATGATCTATAAAGGATCTGATCAATATATCTGTATCATTACCATAGTCTATTAAACATTTACATCTCCAGCCTAGATTTTCCTGAGCTCCAGACCTACATTTCCAAGAGTTTGTCTCCATTTGAATGCCTTCAGCAATGTCTCAAACCACAATCATGACTTTCCCATGGATCTTGGATTTCCTTTTACCATTTCTTGCTCGGAATGCCACAGACCTGAGATTTAGCCTTAACCCTGCCTCCCCCACCACGTCCAGTCACAAGACACAGGACTCAGTGTTGGAATTTCTGCCACCACTCTCCCATCCTCTCCTGAGTCCTGATTGGGCCCTCCTCATCTTCTTTACTTCCCCACTTGGAGTCTCCCCACAGCTGCCAAAGTCACCCCTTAGTAACACAAATCTGGTTACATCTTGATGGCTTCTCATGCTTATAATAAAAATCAAAATGCCAATGTCTTAGTCCACCTGCTGCTTCTATAACAGAGTACCCAAAACTGGGTAAGTTATAAAGAACATAAATTTCTTTCTCACAGTCCCAAAGGCTGGGCAATCAAGGCACCAGTAGGTTAGGGCCCTGTCTCTGCTCCCAAGAGGCGATTCAAATGCTGCATCCTCTGTAGAGGAGGAACTCCATGTCCTCATATGGTAGGAGAGCAGAAGAGAGAGAACCCACTTCCACAAGCTGTATTAGTCAATTCTCATGCTGCTAATAAAGACGTACCCGAGAATGCCAAATTTATAAAGGAAAGCAGTTTAATTGACTCACAGTTCTGCATGACTAGGGAGGCCTTAGGAAACTTACAATCATGGCGGAAGGGGAAACAAACACGTCCTTCTTCACATGTCAGCAGCAAGGAGAAATGCCAAGCAAAATGGGGGGAAGTCCCTTATAAAACCATCAGATTTGACCTCTCATGAGAACAGGATGAGGGTAACCACCCCAATGATCAAATTACTTCCCATCTGGTTCCTCCCATGACATATGGGGATTATGGGAACTACAATTCAGGATGAGATGTGGGTGGGAACACAGCCAAACCACATCACAAGCTCTTTATATAGTGGCACTAACCTAGTCTCGAGGGCTCCACCCTCATGACCTAAACACCTTCCATTAGGCCTCACTTCCCAATACTGTTGCATTGGGGTTAGGCTTCTAACACATGAATTTTGGTTCACACATTCAGACCATAGCTACTGTCATGGCCTACAAGGTCCTGCAGGGACTGGCCTCTGCGTTTCTTTGATCACCATATTGTCGTCTCTCTGACTCTAGTCATATTGGCTACCACTCATCTGTTGATCATGTCATGCCAGACGCCCAGGTACCTAGTTAACTCCTCATCCTTTGGACCTCAGCTCTAACTCCTAGATCCATTAGTTCACCTCCCTCACTGTCTTCATGACGCCCATATATCTCCATCATTTTTTGTTTACTTGATTCAGTCAGTGTCTCACCTTCTAGACTGAAGTTCATGTCTCACTTTTTTGTGGTCTAAAGATTGATTTCTGTTTCCTGCTAGCAGTTTTCCTTCCCAACCTGTGTTAACAAACCTATACAAATGTTCTGGTGTTCTGTACTTCCTTCAAGAAGATACTAGCATTAAGATGGGAGCTAGAATGTGGCCTTCTTCTTACAAGAGGATAAGGTTCACTTTAATTGTCTATCTTTTGGGAAATATTATTTTTTAAGCTTTTAATGTTATACCATAGTGCTTACCTTTTAAACACATTTTAGCATAGCTGTGTTGGAGACAAGGTCAATTTAAGGGTTTCTCTCTGACATAAGCTTTTAACCTCAATATTAACAATGCAAACCTTTCATACATGAATCCAAGTAAAAAAATTGAAGTGGCGGTTAGCTATGCATAAGTGAAGGAACTCCATTTACCCCTGCTGTGAGATACCCTGTCAATCTGTAGATGTTCGCAAGTGTGTTGGTTACTGAGAGTCACATGTAGGCATGCTATAATTTTGAGGTACAAATAACTGTGGATATATGTATTCCTTGACCTTCACAAATGCTGGATCACAGGATGCACATAATGTGTTAACATAATGCATTAACTCTTTTGTAACTGACTACTTTGTGTTGGATTTAACCATCACATACATGACATAGCTAAACTAAAGACAAACATGGACCGAGCTCTTATTCTAGTCCATTGGGTAGGAGAGATTATGTTTCTGGAGGAGAATCTGGCATCCTTGGCATTAGGGTCTCAAATATAGCATTATAATCTGCTTTAAAACAAAGAAAATGTAAGAGGAGAGAATATGACTTTAGCACATGATTTCTTCCCATTTTCCTGTTGGCAGTCCTTTTTTTGCATATTAACACTTTCATCTTCCACTTTAAAATCTAGAGAGAGAAGTATTTCCTAATGTGTCAGAGTTCTTCCTCTCACTAACACAAATTAATGTTTCATCCTAAATATAATGATATTAATTTGACTTTATTTACTTATATGAGGCTTGTTTGTTTTGCTCTTAGGTGGTTTGGACACCCTGAATATTGCCTGTTCTTTTCTAGTCAAACCTGATTCATGAAATGGAATGAAGCTAAAAAATCATCTACTTCTTTGTGGATTTGAGAGAAGATTGGGATGGTCTTAAGTGCATAAAACGAGACTCTAACTGCAGCGATGAGTTCAGATGAGAAGGGCATTTCCCCTGCTCATAAGACATCCACTCCAACCCATAGAAGTGCCTCCTCTTCGATATCCTCCCAAAGGGACAGTAGGCAGGTAAGACAAGAGCATTAAGTGCTTTTGGTTGTTTTATGCAAATGCAATACCATTGAGATAGGATGGGATTGCTAATTATTTCTGAAATTGTTTTGTAAAGTCTTTTATTCCAAGTGAAAACTCATTATTTTCTGTAGATACATTTGATGATGTCATGAAGCTCCCACTGTTGCTTCTCTGTGATTTAGGACTCTTTTTTAGAAGGCAGACACAGAAGGCTGGTAGGGTGGCTATGGGAAGCCCTGCTGTCTTTTCCTCCCTGCACCTGGAGGGGGAGCCAGCATCAAGAACTTGAACACTCTTCTCTTCATTCATGGAGGTGGAAAGGGAACTATGAACCCTGCAAAGGACATCTTCCTATAAGGCTGTCACTGGGCTGCCAAGCACTAATCTCTGTTCGATATTTTGTGGAATCTGGTAACAGCTAGATTCGAGAATTAGGTTACGGATAAAATTGTAATACCAGGAATTAAAAGCAGTGAGAACTCAAACAATGTTTACAGGCAACAGAGAAAGTAAATGGTTATTACTTAATTATGGTAGAAAACGCCCATGGTTCCATTTGAGCCAATTTTGCAAGTTATTTTTGTGGTGTCATTACTGTTTAAGTGGCGATTCTGCTGGCAGGTTTAGGTGAGCATTTGTCGTATGAATGTTCTTCATTGTCAAACAGGTTGTTATTTCAGCCAGCCAGGTCTGAGCATAACTATTTTCTATCTAATTTGTCCTGTGATAGTATCTGGTTGTGTCACTGGAATTCCCAATAAGTAGGTGTTATTACCTTTTTATAAAAGCTTTCCGTTTGGCACTGGTCAATTAGTGAGCATTGTGCAGGTTCTCCTTCACCCCCTCCACCCCTCACCCCCTGTTTTATGTTTCAAAGCATATGCCTAGTTTCTAGGAGTGTAGCATCAGTCATTCGACTGGCCATCAATAGACATGGGTCTTGAGACAGCCACTTTCATACATGAATTCATTTTAGATAGTGCAAATGCACTGCTGGGGATGCTTTTTAGGACCCTCCCAGCCACTGTCTCTTCCTTTTTAGCAAGAAATTCCAGGAGAATCTGTAAGAATCAGGATGCTTAATGCTATATCTTTCACAGATCCTAAAGGCACGTGTTTCTATCCAGGGTCTTGGGGAAACTTTTGATACTGGTGTCTTTTGTTGATGTGTAGTTTGTTATGACGACACCTATATCGTCATTATAAGTAGTCTCATTAATCTGGTGGATAGCACACAGTTCATAAATTTTATATTGTATTGCATTGCAAGTCAAAAAAGTAGGAGTACCAGGATGGAAACACTTTTTTTTTTTTTTTTTTTTGAGGCGGCAGTCGTCGCTCTGTCCCAGGCTGGGAGTGCAGTGGCCGGATTTCTCAGCTCACTGGCTAAGCTCCGCCCCCGGTTTAGGCCATTCTCCTGCCTCGCCTCCCGAGGTAAGCTGGGACTACAGGCACCGCCCCACTTGCCGGGTGCTAGTTTTTGCTATTTTTTAGTAGAGGCAGGGTCTTCACCGTGTTAGCAGGATGTCTCGATCTCCTGACTCTGTGATCCCGCCGTCTCAGCCGTCCCAAGTGCTGGTATTACAGGCTTGAGCCACCGCGCCCGGCCGGAAACACTTTATATTAAATAACCTGTATTCTGAGATGCTTTCTAAGTTTGCAAATTTAGTCTACCTTTGCGCTGCCTTGCTGTTCTTTCTTGTTATGGCCTCTTCGTTTTTCCCTTCCCTGGGCATTTAAACAGAGAGAGAGACATGTAAGCAGCATGACCTTCCTGACTGCTGGGAAGAAGGAAGCCGTTGACCCGCTCACACTGGAGAATTGTGGCAAATGGAAAAGATGGTAGACTGCTGTAGAAACATCTATCGAGCATTGTTATTCTCTGTTTGCACCCGAGCTCCAGCACAGGCATGCAAAGCAACAGGGAAACACTGAGACCCTGGTGTGCCGGAGGGAGCCTGAAGGTGGAATGTGTGACTCTTCACTTGCTTGTGAATGGAAAGTTTTATGATGGGAATGAAAGGAGCATGTCTGTACATTGATAATGAGTTCTAGAAAAGTAAGAGACACTTTTCAAAGGGTTATCATTCTTTAAGGAGAGAGTTTACTTTTACTCCTATTTATCTCGGCAGGTGGAAACTCTCCCAAAAACTTTCTTCCCTAGTTCCTTCCTGACTCCTGTTTTGTGTCTGGCTACCTCCCTCAGGGGAGAGAAGAATAGAAGAGATCAATTACAGTTCTGTTTTCCCTTCGTTATCTCAATCACTGCCTAAACCTCAGAATTAACTTAGGGAACTCAGATATTTTGAGTGATCATGTGATGTGATGTGATGTGATATAGTGTTTTTTATATGCATCTATTTTTGTGTGATAACTGTTTTCATAGTGAAGGGACATAGAGAAAGTGTGATAAATTTGGCTTCATTGAATCCTTTCCATTCTCCTGATTTGACTGACATCTATGCAGATGGTGCCAAATTGCAAACTCCAGCCCCATTTCTCTCCTAAATTAAGATCTAGCACATAGCTGAGAATACAGTGGTATCTTAATGCACATTGGTTGCCTTTCCTTCTCAAGTTCTAGTCCTAGGTCACTAATGAATTGACTGAGCATTTCTACTTAAATGCACTGCTGCTTGAGTGGTACCACTGTGTCTTAAATCAATACCTGTAAACCAGTTTGCTATCAGGATAACCATTCTCTCAGAGACCCAGGGTCACTGCCTGCCTTTCTCCTTTGCTTCTCTCACATTCAATAGGTTAATGAGTCTTATTGATCATTTCCTCCTTCATAATATTATAATTTCCTTCTATTCCCACTGTCAGCTCCCTTGCCCAGTGCTCATCACCTCTACCCAGGATCCTAAAGAGTACACTTGCCTCACTATCTCACTTATGCCTCACCATTTCAAATGTCCTGAGTAGGGCAGATTCATGCTCAAAATCCATCAGACTCATTGTTACCTACACAATTAAGGCCACAGTTTCTCACTTGGAACCCCATGTCCAGCATGATCTGGTCCAGGCTTGTGTTCCATTTTCCTCCCAACCTCAACAGTCTTGTCTGATCATAGTCCTGAACTGCCCTGTCTTTATCCTTACTTGCCTTTCCTGCATGGAATTCTCACCACCTTCCTCTCAACCCGATGCCTCCCTATGCATCAAAGACCGGCTCATATGACACTCCCACTGGCCATGCAAGCTTACTTTACCCTCTCCTTTCTCTGAGCTTTTATAGATCTTTTTGATAATATTTGACAGTTCTATATTGTTTATCTTTTTATGTACTGATCTCCTCATCTGTATTGTGAGCTCTCTTAAACAGACTATGTACTCTTAAGTCTTCAGAGAGCAGCCTTGAACCTCAAATGTTTTAATATATCCTGGAGGATATATTTTAAAGACCTGCAACAACATTAGTTTTGTGTTTTTATTACAAATTTTCCATTCCTGATTTATTTGTCCTTCTCTTCTTCCCTCCTCACGGATAAGTAAAACAAAGAACATCTGTGCATAATAGTAATTAGCTGTCCTTCCTGTCACTACATTAGGTAGTGTAGTTGGCAAAGAAGGGAGAGGAGCTAGGAAATAAAGTGACTCAGTGGCCCTGTGCTCACTAAGTGTTTCTTCACCAATGGTAGCGTCAAGACTCCTCTTAGTTACTTAACAAGTTAGAAGACTTTAATAATTGTTCCATTTGCATTTCACTAAATCTGATATGAGCTGTTAGAAAATCTAGCAAAATTGCCTCTGTGTGTGTGTGTGTGTGTGTATGTGTGTGTGTGTGGTGTGTGATCAACTATGACTCATAAGCTGTAATAAACATATTAATATATGCCCTAAAACTTCCAAAGAGGGAGCATAAGGATTGTTGATGAAACACTTAGGACTTACCCATAAACCAGCATTCCCCAAAGTGTTTGCCAAGTATTGCTTGCCCCTTGAGATGTTGCATTAAAAGGGAGTTCTTCTGTCAAATAAGTTAGAGAAGTGCTAAACAAAATCTCTTTTGCAATGTGCGTTACACAATTAAGGACACTGATAAGTCCCGAAGTAAGAATTTTTATTTAACTGAGTAATTCTAGAATTTAGTAGACTGGAACTT